AGACAGCAACTCTGGAATAACAGATATCACAAACGCTACGAAAACGTCAACTCCTGACGTTACCAGCTCTATTCACGTAACCGACGGCGATGAAACTACAACAGCAGGGTCGTCTACATACACCACCCCCGGTAAAACTGAAACTCCTGAGAAACAAACAAATGCAACAGACACTTCTGAAACCGTCACTCAAACAAGATCAACTGCGAAATCCAGTGAAACAACAATTACCGGTACTACGGAGTTACCAAGCGCTGCAACAACTACCACTGTTGAACCATCTGTTACGCCCACAGACAGCAACTCTGAAATTACAGATATCACAAACGCTACGAAAACGTCTACTCCTGACGTTACCAGCTCTATTCACGTAACCGACGGCGATGAAACTACAACAGCAGGGTCGTCTACATACACCACCCCCGGTAAAACTGAAACTCCTGAGAAACAAACAAATGCAACAGACACTTCTGAAGCCGTCACTCAAACAAGATCAACTGCGAAATCCAGTGAAACAACAATTACCGGTACTACGGAGTTACCAAGCGCTGCAACAACAACCACTGTTGAACCATCTGTTACGCCCACAGACAGCAACTCTGAAATAACAGATATCACAAACGCTACGAAAACGTCCACTCCTGACGTTACCAGCTCTATTCACGTAACCGACGGCGATGAAACTACAACAGCAGGGTCGTCTACATACACCACGCCAGGTAAAACTGAAACTCCTGAGAAACAAACAAATGCAACAGACACTTCTGAAACCGTCACTCAAACAAGATCAACTGCGAAATCCAGTGAAACAACAATTACCGGTACTACGGAGTTACCAAGCGCTGCAACAACAACCACTCTTGCATCATCTGTTACGCCCACAGACAGCAACTCTGAAATAACAGATATCACAAACGCTACGAAAACGTCAACTCCTGACGTTACCAGCTCTATTCACGTAACCGACAGCCATGAAACTACAACAGCAGGGTCGTCTACATACACCATGCCAGGTAAAACTGAAACTCCTGAGAAACAAACAAATGCAACAGACACTTCTGAAACCGTCACTCAAACAAGATCAACTGCGAAAGCCAGTGAAACAACAATTACCGGTACTACGGAGTTACCAAGCGCTGCAACAACAACCTCTGTTGAACCATCTGTTACGCCCACAGACAGCAACTCTGGAATAACAGATATCACAAACGCTACGAAATCGTCCACTCCTGACGTCACCAGCTCCATTCACGTAACCGACGGCGATGAAACTACAACAGCAGGGTCGTCTACATACACCACCCCCGGTAAAACTGAAACTCCTGAGAAACAAACAAATGCAACAGACACTTCTGAAACCGTCACTCAAACAAGATCAACTGCGAAATCCAGTGAAACAACAATTACCGGTACTACGGAGTTACCAAGCGCTGCAACAACAACCACTGTTGAACCATCTGTTACGCCCACAGACGGCAACTCTGAAATAACAGATATCACAAACGCTACGAAAACGTCCACTCCTGACGTTACCAGCTCTATTCACGTAACCGACGGCGATGAAACTACAACAGCAGGGTCGTCTACATACACCACCCCCGGTAAAACTGAAACTCCTGAGAAACAAACAAATGCAACAGACACTTCTGAAACCGTCACTCAAACAAGATCAACTGCGAAAGCGAGTGAAACAACAATTACCGGTACTACGGAGTTACCAAGCGCTGCAACAACAACCTCTGTTGAACCATCTGTTACGCCCACAGACAGCAACTCTGGAATAACAGATATCACAAACGCTACGAAAACGTCAACTCCTGACGTTACCAGCTCTATTCACGTAACCGACAGCCATGAAACTACAACAGCAGGGTCGTCTACATACACCATGCCAGGTAAAACTGAAACTCCTGAGAAACAAACAAATGCAACAGACACTTCTGAAACCGTCACTCAAACAAGATCAACTGCGAAAGCCAGTGAAACAACAATTACCGGTACTACGGAGTTACCAAGCGCTGCAACAACAACCTCTGTTGAACCATCTGTTACGCCCACAGACAGCAACTCTGAAATAACAGATATCACAAACGCTACGAAAACGTCTACTCCTGACGTTACCAGCTCTATTCACGTAACCGACGGCGATGAAACTACAACAGCAGGGTCGTCTACATACACCACGCCAGGTAAAACTGAAACTCCTGAGAAACAAACAAATGCAACAGACACTTCTGAAACCGTCACTCAAACAAGATCAACTGCGAAAGCCAGTGAAACAACAATTACCGGTACTACGGAGTTACCAAGCGCTGCAACAACAACCTCTGTTGAACCATCTGTTACGCCCACAGACAGCAACTCTGGAATAACAGATATCACAAACGCTACGAAATCGTCTACTCCTGACGTCACCAGCTCTATTCACGTAACCGACGGCGATGAAACTACAACAGCAGGGTCGTCTACATACACCACTCCCGGTAAAACTGAAACTCCTGAGAAACAAACAAATGCAACAGACACTTCTGAAACCGTCACTCAAACAAGATCAACTGCGAAATCCAGTGAAACAACAATTACCGGTACTACGGAGTTACCAAGCGCTGCAACAACAACCACTGTTGAATCATCTGTTACGCCCACAGACAGCAACTCTGAAATAACAGATATCACAAACGCTACGAAAACGTCTACTCCTGACGTTACCAGCTCTATTCACGTAACCGACGGCGATGAAACTACAACAGCAGGGTCGTCTACATACACCACCCCCGGTAAAACTGAAACTCCTGAGAAACAAACAAATGCAACAGACACTTCTGAAACCGTCACTCAAACAAGATCAACTGCGAAATCCAGTGAAACAACAATTACCCGTACTACGGAGTTACCAAGCGCTGCAACAACAACCACTGTTGAACCATCTGTTACGCCCACAGACAGCAACTCTGAAATAACAGATATCACAAACGCTACGAAAACGTCTACTCCTGACGTTACCAGCTCTATTCACGTAACCGACGGCGATGAAACTACAACAGCAGGGTCGTCTACATACACCACCCCCGTTAAAACTGAAACTCCTGAGAAACAAACAAATGCAACAGACACATCTGAAACCGTCACTCAAACAAGATCAACTGCGAAAGCGAGTGAAACAACAATTACCGGTACTACGGAGTTACCAAGCGCTGCAACAACAACCTCTGTTGAACCATCTGTTACGCCCACAGACAGCAACTCTGAAATAACAGATATCACAAACGCTACGAAAACGTCTACTCCTGACGTTACCAGCTCTATTCACGTAACCGACAGCCATGAAACTACAACAGCAGAGTCGTCTACATACACCATGCCAGGTAAAACTGAAACTCCTGAGAAACAATCAAATGCAACAGACACTTCTGAAACCGTCACTCAAACAAGATCAACTGCGAAAGCCAGTGAAACAACAATTACCGGTACTACGGAGTTACCAAGCGCTGCAACAACTACCACTGTTGAATCATCTGTTACGCCCACAGACAGCAACTCTGAAATAACAGATATCACAAACGCTACGAAAACGTCTACTCCTGACGTTACCAGCTCTATTCACGTAACCGACGGCGATGAAACTACAACATCAGGGTCGTCTACATACACCACGCCAGGTAAAACTGAAACTCCTGAGAAACAAACAAATGCAACAGACACTTCTGAAACCGTCACTCAAACAAGATCAACTGCGAAAGCGAGTGAAACAACAATTACCGGTACTACGGAGTTACCAAGCGCTGCAACAACAACCTCTGTTGAACCATCTGTTACGCCCACAGACAGCAACTCTGGAATAACAGATATCACAAACGCTACGAAAACGTCAACTCCTGACGTTACCAGCTCTATTCACGTAACCGACGGCGATGAAACTACAACAGCAGGGTCGTCTACATACACCACCCCCGGTAAAACTGAAACTCCTGAGAAACAAACAAATGCAACAGACACTTCTGAAACCGTCACTCAAACAAGATCAACTGCGAAATCCAGTGAAACAACAATTACCGGTACGACGGAGTTACCAAGCGCTGCAACAACTACCACTGTTGAACCATCTGTTACGCCCACAGACAGCAACTCTGAAATTACAGATATCACAAACGCTACGAAAACGTCTACTCCTGACGTTACCAGCTCTATTCACGTAACCGACGGCGATGAAACTACAACAGCAGGGTCGTCTACATACACCACCCCCGGTAAAACTGAAACTCCTGAGAAACAAACAAATGCAACAGACACTTCTGAAGCCGTCACTCAAACAAGATCAACTGCGAAATCCAGTGAAACAACAATTACCGGTACTACGGAGTTACCAAGCGCTGCAACAACAACCACTGTTGAACCATCTGTTACGCCCACAGACAGCAACTCTGAAATAACAGATATCACAAACGCTACGAAAACGTCCACTCCTGACGTTACCAGCTCTATTCACGTAACCGACAGCCATGAAACTACAACAGCAGGGTCGTCTACATACACCACGCCAGGTAAAACTGAAACTCCTGAGAAACAAACAAATGCAACAGACACTTCTGAAACCGTCACTCAAACAAGATCAACTGCGAAATCCAGTGAAACAACAATTACCGGTACTACGGAGTTACCAAGCGCTGCAACAACAACCACTGTTGCATCATCTGTTACGCCCACAGACAGCAACTCTGAAATAACAGATATCACAAACGCTACGAAAACGTCAACTCCTGACGTTACCAGCTCTATTCACGTAACCGACAGCCATGAAACTACAACAGCAGGGTCGTCTACATACACCATGCCAGGTAAAACTGAAACTCCTGAGAAACAAACAAATGCAACAGACACTTTTGAAACCGTCACTCAAACAAGATCAACTGCGAAAGCCAGTGAAACAACAATTACCGGTACTACGGAGTTACCAAGCGCTGCAACAACAACCTCTGTTGAACCATCTGTTACGCCCACAGACAGCAACTCTGGAATAACAGATACCACAAACGCTACGAAATCGTCCACTCCTGACGTCACCAGCTCCATTCACGTAACCGACGGCGATGAAACTACAACAGCAGGGTCGTCTACATACACCACCCCCGGTAAAACTGAAACTCCTGAGAAACAAACAAATGCAACAGACACTTCTGAAACCGTCACTCAAACAAGACCAACTGCTAAATCCAGTGAAACAACAATTACCGGTACTACGGAGTTACCAAGCGCTGCAACAACAACCACTGTTGAACCATCTGTTACGCCCACAGACAGCAACTCTGAAATAACAGATATCACAAACGCTACGAGAACGTCCACTCCTGACGTTACCAGCTCTATTCACGTAACCGACGGCGATGAAACTACAACAGCAGGGTCGTCTACATACACCACCCCCGGTAAAACTGAAACTCCTGAGAAACAAACAAATGCAACAGACACTTCTGAAACCGTCACTCAAACAAGATCAACTGCGAAATCCAGTGAAACAACAATTACCGGTACTACGGAGTTACCAAGCGCTGCAACAACAACCACTGTTGAACCATCTGTTACGCCCACAGACAGCAACTCTGAAATAACAGATATCACAAACGCTACGAAAACGTCCACTCCTGACGTTACCAGCTCTATTCACGTAACCGACGGCGATGAAACCACAACAACAGGGTCGTCTACATACACCACGCCAGGTAAAACTGAAACTCCTGAGAAACAAACAAATGCAACAGACACTTCTGAAACCGTCACTCAAACAAGATCGACTGCGAAATCCAGTGAAACAACAATTACCGGTACTACGGACTTACCAAGCGCTGCAACAACAACCACTGTTGAATCATCTGTTACGCCCACAGACAGCAACTCTGAAATAACAGATATCACAAACGCTACGAAAACGTCAACTCCTGACGTTACCAGCTCTATTCACGTAACCGACAGCCATGAAACTACAACAGCAGGGTCATCTACATACACCATGCCAGGTAAAACTGAAACTCCTGAGAAACAAACAAATGCAACAGACACTTCTGAAACCGTCACTCAAACAAGATCAACTGCGAAAGCCAGTGAAACAACAATTACCGGTACTACGGAGTTACCAAGCGCTGCAACAAAAACCTCTGTTGAACCATCTGTTACGCCCACAGACAGCAACTCTGGAATAACAGATATCACAAACGCTACGAAAACGTCAACTCCTGACGTTACCAGCTCTATTCACGTAACCGACAGCCATGAAACTACAACAGCAGGGTCGTCTACATACACCATGCCAGGTAAAACTGAAACTCCTGAGAAACAAACAAATGCAACAGACACTTCTGAAACCGTCACTCAAACAAGATCAACTGCGAAAGCCAGTGAAACAACAATTACCGGTACTACGGAGTTACCAAGCGCTGCAACAACAACCTCTGTTGAACCATCTGTTACGCCCACAGACAGCAACTCTGAAATAACAGATATCACAAACGCTACGAAAACGTCTACTCCTGACGTTACCAGCTCTATTCACGTAACCGACGGCGATGAAACTACAACAGCAGGGTCGTCTACATACACCACCCCCGGTAAAAGTGAAACTCCTGAGAAACAAACAAATGCAACAGACACTTCTGAAACCGTCACTCAAACAAGATCAACTGCGAAATCCAGTGAAACAACAATTACCGGTACTACGGAGTTACCAAGCGCTGCAACAACAACCACTGTTGAACCATCTGTTACGCCCACAGACAGCAACTCTGAAATAACAGATATCACAAACGCTACGAAAACGTCCACTCCTGACGTTACCAGCTCTATTCACGTAACCGACGGCGATGAAACTACAACAGCAGGGTCGTCTACATACACCACGCCAGGTAAAACTGAAACTCCTGAGAAACAAACAAATGCAACAGACACTTCTGAAACCGTCACTCAAACAAGATCAACTGCGAAATCCAGTGAAACAACAATTACCGGTACTACGGAGTTACCAAGCGCTGCAACAACAACCACTGTTGCATCATCTGTTACGCCCACAGACAGCAACTCTGAAATAACAGATATCACAAACGCTACGAAAACGTCCACTCCTGACGTTACCAGCTCTATTCACGTAACCGACGGCGATGAAACTACAACAGCAGGGTCGTCTACATACACCACGCCAGGTAAAACTGAAACTCCTGAGAAACAAACAAATGCAACAGACACTTCTGAAACCGTCACTCAAACAAGATCAACTGCGAAATCCAGTGAAACAACAATTACCGGTACTACGGAGTTACCAAGCGCTGCAACAACAACCACTGTTGAACCATCTGTTACGCCCACAGACAGCAACTCTGAAATAACAGATATCACAAACGCTACGAAAACGTCCACTCCTGACGTTACCAGCTCTATTCACGTAACCGACGGCGATGAAACTACAACATCAGGGTCGTCTACATACACCACGCCAGGTAAAACTGAAACTCCTGAGAAACAAACAAATGCAACAGACACTTCTGAAACCGTCACTCAAACAAGATCAACTGCGAAAGCGAGTGAAACAACAATTACCGGTACTACGGAGTTACCAAGCGCTGCAACAACAACATCTGTTGAACCATCTGTTACGCCCACAGACAGCAACTCTGGAATAACAGATATCACAAACGCTACGAAAACGTCAACTCCTGACGTTACCAGCTCTATTCACGTAACCGACAGCCATGAAACTACAACAGCAGGGTCGTCTACATACACCATGCCAGGTAAAACTGAAACTCCTGAGAAACAAACAAATGCAACAGACACTTCTGAAACCGTCACTCAAACAAGATCAACTGCGAAAGCGAGTGAAACAACAATTACCGGTACTACGGAGTTACCAAGCGCTGCAACAACAACCTCTGTTGAACCATCTGTTACGCCCACAGACAGCAACTCTGGAATAACAGATATCACAAACGCTACGAAAACGTCAACTCCTGACGTTACCAGCTCTATTCACGTAACCGACGGCGATGAAACTACAACAGCAGGGTCGTCTACATACACCACCTCCGGTAAAACTGAAACTCCTGAGAAACAAACAAATGCAACAGACACTTCTGAAACCGTCACTCAAACAAGATCAACTGCGAAATCCAGTGAAACAACAATTACCGGTACTACGGAGTTACCAAGCGCTGCAACAACAACCACTGTTGCATCATCTGTTACGCCCACAGACAGCAACTCTGAAATAACAGATATCACAAACGCTACGAAAACGTCCACTCCTGACGTTACCAGCTCTATTCACGTAACCGACGGCGATGAAACTACAACAGCAGGGTCGTCTACATACACCACGCCAGGTAAAACTGAAACTCCTGAGAAACAAAAAAATGCAACAGACACTTCTGAAACCGTCACTCAAACAAGATCAACTGCGAAATCCAGTGAAACAACAATTACCGGTACTACGGAGTTACCAAGCGCTGCAACAACAACCACTGTTGAACCATCTGTTACGCCCACAGACAGCAACTCTGAAATAACAGATATCACAAACGCTACGAAAACGTCCACTCCTGACGTTACCAGCTCTATTCACGTAACCGACGGCGATGAAACTACAACATCAGGGTCGTCTACATACACCACGCCAGGTAAAACTGAAACTCCTGAGAAACAAACAAATGCAACAGACACTTCTGAAACCGTCACTCAAACAAGATCAACTGCGAAAGCGAGTGAAACAACAATTACCGGTACTACGGAGTTACCAAGCGCTGCAACAACAACATCTGTTGAACCATCTGTTACGCCCACAGACAGCAACTCTGGAATAACAGATATCACAAACGCTACGAAAACGTCAACTCCTGACGTTACCAGCTCTATTCACGTAACCGACAGCCATGAAACTACAACAGCAGGGTCGTCTACATACACCATGCCAGGTAAAACTGAAACTCCTGAGAAACAAACAAATGCAACAGACACTTCTGAAACCGTCACTCAAACAAGATCAACTGCGAAAGCGAGTGAAACAACAATTACCGGTACTACGGAGTTACCAAGCGCTGCAACAACAACCTCTGTTGAACCATCTGTTACGCCCACAGACAGCAACTCTGGAATAACAGATATCACAAACGCTACGAAAACGTCAACTCCTGACGTTACCAGCTCTATTCACGTAACCGACGGCGATGAAACTACAACAGCAGGGTCGTCTACATACACCACCTCCGGTAAAACTGAAACTCCTGAGAAACAAACAAATGCAACAGACACTTCTGAAACCGTCACTCAAACAAGATCAACTGCGAAATCCAGTGAAACAACAATTACCGGTACTACGGAGTTACCAAGCGCTGCAACAACTACCACTGTTGAACCATCTGTTACGCCCACAGACAGCAACTCTGAAATTACAGATATCACAAACGCTACGAAAACGTCTACTCCTGACGTTACCAGCTCTATTCACGTAACCGACGGCGATGAAACTACAACAGCAGGGTCGTCTACATACACCACCCCCGGTAAAACTGAAACTCCTGAGAAACAAACAAATGCAACAGACACTTCTGAAACCGTCACTCAAACAAGACCAACTGCTAAATCCAGTGAAACAACAATTACCGGTACTACGGAGTTACCAAGCGCTGCAACAACAACCACTGTTGAACCATCTGTTACGCCCACAGACAGCAACTCTGAAATAACAGATATCACAAACGCTACGAAAACGTCAACTCCTGACGTTACCAGCTCTATTCACGTAACCGACAGCCATGAAACTACAACAGCAGGGTCGTCTACATACACCATGCCAGGTAAAACTGAAACTCCTGAGAAACAAACAAATGCAACAGACACTTCTGAAACCGTCACTCAAACAAGATCAACTGCGAAAGCCAGTGAAACAACAATTACCGGTACTACGGAGTTACCAAGCGCTGCAACAACAACCTCTGTTGAACCATCTGTTACGCCCACAGACAGCAACTCTGGAATAACAGATATCACAAACGCTACGAAATCGTCCACTCCTGACGTCACCAGCTCCATTCACGTAACCGACGGCGATGAAATTACAACAGCAGGGTCGTCTACATACACCACCCCCGGTAAAACTGAAACTCCTGAGAAACAAACAAATGCAACAGACACTTCTGAAACCGTCACTCAAACAAGATCAACTGCGAAATCCTGTGAAACAACAATTACCGGTACTACGGAGTTACCAAGCGCTGCAACAACAACCACTGTTGAACCATCTGTTACGCCCACAGACAGCAACTCTGAAATAACAGATATCACAAACGCTACGAAAACGTCCACTCCTGACGTTACCAGCTCTATTCACGTAACCGACGGCGATGAAACTACAACAGCAGGGTCGTCTACATACACCACCCCCGGTAAAACTAAAACTCCTGAGAAACAAACAAATGCAACAGACACTTCTGAAACCGTCACTCAAACAAGATCAACTGCGAAATCCAGTGAAACAACAATTACCGGTACTACGGAGTTACCAAGCGCTGCAACAACAACCACTGTTGAACCATCTGTTACGCCCACTGACAGCAACTCTGAAGATATCACAAACGCTACGAAAACGTCTACTCCTGACGTTACCAGCTCTATTCACGTAACCGACGGC